CCTTGGAAGCAGTTCTTTGAGGTCACTTGCGTGTCTCTAACCACCCCGCATTGGACTTCTCTGCCTTTAAGGTTGCTTGGGTGGAAAATTTGGAGAAGCACTCATGTAAGTGCAAGTCCCGGGCCATCTGGGCCTTTTCCACCCTCCCAGCTATATGTGGTGAAAAGGAATGTCTTAACTATGTAAACCAGCGTGGGAGAGTTGGTGCTCTGCTCTGTTTGTACAGCTGCTCCCCGGCTCCCGCTCTGCTATCTTTCATGGCCCAGAGGTATCCGTGAATATGCTGGGGAAGGGTTTCTGGAGCCCGGAGGAGGTGAGAACTAGGTAGGGGAGATGGTTGTCTTCCAAGTGCCTGTGCCCCTTGGTAGTCAGTCTTTTCAACAAAAATGTATATTTATTTAAACATTTTTAATACTTCTTGAATTTCATAGTTCACCATTTAAATCCTCACAAGAGGGTTTGCAATGGAATACCTCTCTCTGCTTCTTTCCATAGCCCCAATTCCCTTCTTCACAGCCAGCCAGTGTTACCAGTTTCCTGTGTAACCAAGTAAATACAGGTGAAGAAATGATCTCAGGGCAATTTTAAGGGATGGTCCAATCTTGAAAAACAAGAGAATGTAGCACATCTGCCACTTTTGCCTTTGTGGTGATGACCTAGGGTAGTGTTTCCGACCTTTTGGAGTAGAATTTGGAATTGATCTTTGTTAACTATTTCTGACTGATTGTATGAATGAATAATAGGTAAGATATTAAAAGACACATCCATGTGATCTTTTTTACAAATAGATATTACATAGGGGGTATGATCTGGCTAAATGAATCGTTAGAAACTGTGTGCGCTTTGGTTTTTATTTATGATGGAACATCCTCCCTAGTCTTGCTGTGACGTACAGCACTTAAGATCAAAACATCACAGAAATGAAGTACCAGCAATTAATTAAGTGAGGGCAGCGGTGTTTGTCCCCAGTGACCTGTCAGAGTAGATCTTTACCAGCTCTGGTCCTCCTAGAGTTCTCCTGCTTTTACCACAGTCATGAGATACAAACTTAAGCATTTGGAAAAGGTGGTGCATAGTTCAAAGTTCAGAGCTGGAAGAGTTTTGGAGTCCCGCTAGACCAGTTTTCTTTGCTGGCAAGTCATGGAGAAGAACTTGCCTTGAACAAAGGGATGTGATTTTTATTCTTTTAGGTTCCAGCACTGCTGCAAGTGAGTTAGGTACGGTTTCAGGAAGAGCAAGGTTATCCTATGGGCTTTACCTGACATAGTAGACTGGGGACGTGGGATGTGGTGGTGACGGGAACAGGGGAGCCGCTCTGGAAAGGTTTGCCAATGGAGGCTTAAGTTAAATTTATTTGTAAACATAATGTGGTTTACCACACTATGAAGACATAGAGCAAAACGTATTATCGTTTTACAAATAGTCAAAACAGGACTAAGTGTCTCGACACATACAAGCTCCCATAGAGGCACACTCAGCCTGTGAAATTGAGAGCTGGGATTGGAGCAGACCCTGCCACTGGCAGCTGAGTGATAACCTGCCTGATCCATCCTCCTAAGACAGATGGACTCAGAATGTGCCCTGCAACTTCCAAACAGAGAAAATACCAAGTTCTAAACATCAAAACACAGCACAGCATCCTTTATCTAGCATGTCAGGGTGCCAGGTAGGCCCAAATCCAGCTTAAACCAGATCTGGTTTTCAGTATCCTTGCTCTTCCTGAGATTTCTGGGTGAATGAAAGATCACTGACTGCACGTGGAAGTGTTCTTCGCTTTACCGGAAGATTTAGGCAAATGTCTTTAGTCTCTTGTTCTCACCAGTACCTCGGTGGACCTCAGCTCCTCCATCCCCTCCGTCCGACTCAGCCTCTGGGTTTCCTTTGTTCCTCTTTTAAAAATCAGCTGTATTGAGATACTTAACATACAATTCAACTATTTAAAGTGCAAAACCAGTGGTTTTTAGTATGTTCACAGAGTTCTTCAACCATCGCTACAGTTAATTTTAGAACATTTTCATCACCTCAAAAAGAAACCCTGTACTTTTTTTTTTTTTTACAAATTATGTATATAATTATATATATATATATCAATGTTTATTTATAAAACAGGATCATACTCTTCATACTATTTAACTTTTTATGTATCACATCATGACTTTTTAAAAATTTTTGTTGAAATAGTTGATTTACAATGTTGTGTTAGTTTCAGGTATACAGCACAGTGATTCAGTTATATTCTTTTCCATTATAGGTTGTTAAGAGAGATCGGGTATAGTTCCCTGTACTTTACAGTAGGTCCTTGTTGGTTATCTGTTTTGTATATAGTAGTGTGTATATTTTAATGCCAAACCCTGAACCCTTTAGCTGTCATCTCCCAACTTCTAATTCCCCTCAGCCCTACGCAACCACGAATCTATTTTCCATCTCTATATATTTGCCTATTGTAGACATTTTATATAAATGTCAATATGTGGCCTTTTATGAATGACTTCTTTCACTTAGCATAATGTTTTCAAGCTTCATCCATGTTGTAGCATGTATCAGTACTTCATTCCTTTTTAGGGCCAAATAATAGTCCATTGTATGGACAGACCACGTTTTGTTTACCCGTTCACCAGTTGATGAGCATTTGGGTTGTTTCCACTTTTTGGCTACCTTGAATAATACTGCTGTGGAGTTTTTGCACAAGTTTTTGTGTGGCCATATGTTTTCATTTCTCTTAGGTACATACTTAGGAGTGGAATTCCTGGGTCTTATGATAACTCTGTTTAAACTTCTGAGGAACTTTCAAAATGTTTTCCAAAGTGGCTGCACCATTTTGCATTCTCACCAGCGGTGTGTGAGGGTTCTGATTTCTCTACATCCTCCCCAACACTATTATCTGTCTTTTTGATTATAGCCGTCCTAGTGGGTGTGAAGTGGCTTGTTATGGTTTTGATTTGCATTTCCCTAATAACTAATGATGTTGAGCATCTTCTCATGTGCTTGTTGGACTTTTGTGTATCTTCTTTGAAAGATGTCTATTCAGATCCTTTGCCCATTAAAAAAAACTGGGTTATCTTTTTATTATTGAGTTGAAGAATTCTTTATATATTCTAGATATGGGTCCTTTATGAGATATATGATTTGTAAATATTTTCTCTCATTCTTTGGGTTGTCTTTTCACCTTGTTGGCACAGAAGTTTTCGATTTTGATGAAGTCTAATTTATCTATTTTTTCTTTTGTCACTTATGCTTTTGGTATTGTATCTAAGAAGCCTTGCATAACTCAAGCTCACGATATTTGCTCCAGTGTTTTCTTTTAGAAGAGATTTATAGTTGTAGATCTTACATTTAGGTCTGTGATCCATTTTGAGTTAATTTTTGCGTGTGGTACAAAGAAAGGATCTAATTTCATTCTTTTGCATTTGGATATCCAGTAGTCCCAGAACCATTTTGTTGAAGACTGTTCCTTTCCCCCTTGAATTATCTTGGCTCCCTTGTTGAGAATTAATTGACTGTAAATATTGGGTTTATTTTTAGACGCCCAGTTCTATGCCATTGAACTACGTGTGTATCCTTATTTGAGTACCACTTGATAACTGTAGCTTTGTAGTCTCTTATCTCTTAATGGGAAAGTTAGGGCAGGAACGGACAATCTGGACTTTTCTCTTGCTTTCCCTGGTCTGACCAGTTGCTGGATTCTTTAGATCCCTCCTCAGGTTTTCAACCACACTTTATTTCTCCTCAGTCATCTTGCTGGTTTCGGTAGAAGATGATATGTCCAGACAGTAATAGAGAAATCCCAGCTGTTGGGTACCATAGTGTTCTCCTAGCAATGCCCGCCAACCTTGTTCTGACTCAGTAGCTTGACTCTGATGAGCTTTCCCAGATGCATAGAATTAAATGGAACATTCGGGTTGTGAAAAGATGCTCTGGTTTCTGAAACTCTCAGATTGGTTAAGTTCAGGATAACACAGCTTCCTGTACTATTACAAGATTTAAAGATCTTTCTGAAAGGCTATGCAAGCAAGTGATTTCGGCAGATAGCTCTCCCAAGTGGGCTGTGTCGTAGCCTTCGAAGCCAGATCTTGCCTTCCCTGGGCCTTGCTTTCCTTGAAGGCATCTGCAGCACTGTTTTGTGAGCGCTGGGTTTACTGGTTTTCACATCTTTGTAGTAGTGGAGAAATAGAAGATGAGAGGTCTGCTGGGAGAGGTGGAATTCTGGACAAGGCCACTTACCATCACTTTTAATATGCTGAGCCAAAAAATAAAACGCCTACGTGACGTCTGGAATTAACAATAATCATCCTGTAATTGTTCCCATTCCTTTCTCTTATGGATTGTGTGCAGCACATGCTCATTTTCAGATGGTAGTACCTAGAGCTTGCACCGTGAACTGTACCATAATTCAAGCAAATTTTAATTTCCATTTTGTGTTAGACATTAAAAAAAAAACCCTGTAAGCAGAAATTGCCCTTCATCAAGAGTTTCTACTAAGAGGCCCTGCACGTGGTGAGGGGTCAGGAAAGCGAACTCATCAGTGGTTATAAGAGCAGGTTCTGGATTCGATCTGCCCGAATGCATTTTCTCCTACCTGAACTTGGACGAGTTCTTCAGTCTACCCAAGCGCCAGTTTCTTTGTCTTTAAAATGGTGATAAGGATAGTATCCACCTCCTAGAGTTGTTAAAAGGTTGAAATTTCATGTCAAGGACTTGACACAGGCAAGGGTCGGCAAAACTTTTCTGTAAAGAGCCAGATAGCAAATGTTTTAGGCTTTGGCCACAAGTCCTGACACAGCTTTTGTAGCACGAAAGTGGCTGTGAACAGTGTGCCCCTGAATGGGCGTGGCGGTGTTCCAGTAACACTTTATTTTTAGTAACAGGCTGTCCTGTGCCGATCCCTGGCTTAGCACGGTGCCCGGCACGTAGTGGGTTTTAGTAAATGCCAGCCATCCACGAAGTTGGGAGCTGCGCCTTGACCCTGTTTCCCATGCTCACCTGTTCTGTGTCTTTAACAGAACATCGAGGTCCTGGCCAGTCGGAGCAGCACCGCAGAGCAAACCCAGGTCGGGCCTGAGATGCGCGCTAAGGCTCTGCAGGAAGAGAACGAGAAGCTGCGGGAAAGCATCCACGAGCTGGAGCGCACTGTCGCTCGGCTTCAGAGGCAGGTTGCTGACCTGCAAGGTGACGAGGCCAAAGCGAAGGAAATGCTCAAGAAGTACCAGGTGAGGCTCGCTGGACCCCGAGCCCAGGCTTGGCAGTGTCGGATCCTTCTTTCCTATGTGACGAAAAACAAAGCGACTGGAGAAGCAGAAAGGGATTTATTATCATAATGGAGTAGGAAAGGTCAGGGCAAGCGTGATCATCTCCTCTCTGTAACCCATCGCTTCTGTTCCTCTCTGCATGGCAGTAATGGGAGATGGGCTTCTAGAGCGGCCTAGAACGGGGCTGACAGAGTCAGGGTGGGAGGCACAGGTGCAGGCACGGGAGTCCCCGTTTGCCCAGACATCAGACGTGCTCAACCTTTTGACACTGAGCAGAGGCCTCCGAACACCCAAAAAGGCCATCTGAACACTACCGTCGGGCCCGCTCTCACTCGTGACTGTTTATTCTTTTTTTAACAGTTGGTTGACGGTTTCTGAAGTCATGCAAGTCTTAACAAACCAATTACCTGGTTTGCCAGATCTCTAGAAGTGGGAGGCTGTTAGCAAGAGACACGTACTGACGGCTGTGAGAGATGGCAGCTGACAATAAAAAGGGACAGGAGAAATGTAAAGGGGAGGTGTATTCTCACAGAGCTTCCCCAGATGGTCATCCATCAGTATCACCTGAAAAGCTTTTTTAAAACTGTGTGCTTGAGTCCATTCAACACCTGTTGTTTCTGAAGCTCCAGTGCTAAGGGTGGATATTTGTATTTTCCCAAAAATCATCTCAGATGATTGATGGGGATGTTCACCTCTGGTTAAGTATGGAGCTGCAGACAGGCACACACATCTGTACGGCTGTTGTGTCCTGTCGTGGGCCCGTGACAGGTGCACTGTGACTGCAGCCTCTGCTGGCTGTGTCTGTGGATGTCCCCTGCATGCCTTTCATGCCACCAAGTCAGCTTCCTAGGCATAGCACACATCTGAGTGTACACTGACCCCGTGTTTCATTGTAGGGAGAAACTCGGCAATTAGAGGAGGCCCTTGTGCATGCAAGAAAAGAAGAAAAAGAAGCAGCGTCAGTCAGAAGGGCCCTGGAGAGTGAGCTGGAAGATGCTCAGGTAAACTCTGAGGGCTGTTGTCTTTAATCCCCCACAGAGGAAGTTCGAGAAGGAAACTCAGAGGGACGTGTACAGATCGCCATTGGTCCTGTCCTTCCAGGCAGCTCCTTTCATAATAATAACCGTCCTGGACTTCAGACTATCTATCTAGACCAGTGGTTCTTAACTGGGGGACATTTGGCCATGTCTAGAGATGGTTGTCACAACTGGGGAGATGCTACTGGCGTCTAGTGGGTGGAGGCCAGGGATGCTGCTAAACATCCTACAATGCACAGGAGAGTCCCCATAGCAGTGAGTTACCCAAATGTCAGTAGTGCCAAGGTTGAGAAATCCTGCTGTAGACATTAAAGAGCCTGACAACTTTCCAAAGATAAAATATGAATTGTGTGAGGAAGGCCGCCAGAATTGGTCCCCAAGGCAGTGTAGAGTCAGCTCTGTGGCAGAAGCCAATTTCCTTTCTCCTCTGGGCCAATAGACTCCTCAGAGTGCAGTCCTCCAAGATGGCTATTAAAAAGAGCAGGAGAAAGTCATTTCCTTGAAACTAGATAGCTATCTCTATTCAAAGTAGGCAGGTTCCTGGAAAATTAGGTTTTCCCATTTGAAGGTTAGAAAGCCTGAAGTACATTCTTTAAAAAAAAAAAGTCTGCACTGAGGTTCTAAATAGACTTTGCACAGTGACCTCAGCGTGATCCAGGTGTGTCCCTCCTTCTACCTGCTCTGGGGTTTTAAAGAACCAGCAGCATCAAGCATCCCTCAGGCGAGCTTACGAGGAGGTAAAAGCCAGTGCTTCTGAGCAGTTGTCTTAGAGGAGGCTGTTAAGTTTTCCCTTAGGACTTGCTTGTCTGTAAGGATAGGTCGGGGAGGGGCAGCCCAGCAGCCAAAGTGCAGGGTTTAAATCTCCGAGCTAGTTGGGCACAGAAAGAGAGGAAAAACATTTGTACTCTTCAGGGGCAAAAGTGTGCGCCTTTGTGTCACGTCCACACCAGGCACTGGGTGCAGCTATTACAGGCTCTGTCTTTATCATCTTTTGGTCAAACCAGAAAGTTTCACACAGAAGGAAGTGGTTCAGCGCTGTGAATCTGCAACTCAAAGCTAATTCAGCGGAGACAACAGATGATGGCCTCAAGGTCTAAAGATCTTAATGTAATCGCCACCCACCCCCCATCTCTGGCTCACCATCCTTGCCTTGGAAATTATCCCTGACCTGTTACTTTTTGTTCAGGCCTGTTTTCCCAGTGGTGCTGAGATGGGGAGGGTGCTTCGTGCAGTGCCTGGCTGTGCTAGCCACTGGCAACATAATCCAGCAAGAATTTTAAGAGGCTCCAACAGTCTCACCATCATTATCTCAATTATCTGGTCTCAAAAGCAGTGCTATGAGGGACTTCCCTGGCGGTCCAGTGGTTAAGACTTCGCCTTCCAGTGCAGTGGGTGTGGGTTTGATCCCCATTCAGGGAGCTAAGATCCCACATGACTTGCAGTCAAAAAACCAAAACATATAACAGAAGCAATGTTGTAACAAAGTCAATAAAGACTTTAAAAATGGTCCACATCAAAAAAAAATCTTCAAACAAAAACCAAAAAAAGTCGTGCTATGAAAAGTGCACCATCACTCAAAAATACTTTGCTTTTTCTCAGTTTGGGAACCAGATAGTCATTCCTTTAGTTCGATAACTTTTTCTGCATGCTTCTCCCAAAGCTGGCAACCGAAGGGAGCTTAACCCTTAGAGTAAGAGGAGAGAGTAGCCGGGTTTTTTTCCCCGTCACATAAGCATTTTACATCTCAAAATCTTTGTGCCTTTAGCAATCTGTTGCATCTTCGTGGATGATAAATATATTTCTTTACATAGTGGCTGAAGACCATGTGAACTTAGGTCTGATTTATTATGACTCAGTCAGACAGTGGCAGAGGTTCTTAAAGGGGATGCCGTTCTTGGTTTGCTTCAGCCCTACCACTTGGTTGAGGGTTGTGCCGCTGTGTAGATCTACCTGAACTGCATTCATGGCAAAGACATCTCTGATTCCCTTGAGAAATGGCTTCTGCAGATGGGGAAGCCATAGTTCTTTCCTTCAGGGAGGGATAATGATATATTCCTCTGTATGCCTGCACCTCCCACCCTGTGTATTGAGACCAGAAAAGAAGAAAGCCCCCATGCTTGTGTGGCATGGGCTCTGAGGAGACTGACTTCCTTCTGATCAAACCTCTCATTCCTTTAAGCGCTTTGGCTCACCTGCCACTTGGTTATCGTTAATACCGGGACCTTGCTCAACCGTATAGTGAAAGGCTTTGCATCCACTGAGATAATGGTCCCCAAGCTCAAGGGCACTCACTATACGTCCACCAACCTTGTGTTTTGGATTCTCCGACCTGATAAATTTTCCTCAAATTTTTGTCCCAGTGTTAGTCAATGGCCTTGTCTGGCTGGTCTTGGAAATACAGTCACTGTAGCTATAGAGCATTTCACACCTAACTCCTAAATGCAAAGTTGCCAAGTTGGCTGCTTTTCGTGTGAATTTGGGACATACTTTCTCAGCATGGACATATTGCCACACATTTCTTGAATCACTGAAGAGGCAGAGCATTGTTTAAACAGCATTTCTAAACTTTAGAGTATGTTAGAATTATCTGAGTAACTTTCAGATGCAAATGTGTGGGCTCCACTCTAAGAAAAATTGTGATTCCATCAGAACAGGCTAGATTTTGCATTTTAAGTAAGCAGTCCACCACCCTTGCCCGGTGATTCTGATATAAGAAATCTTTAGATCACTTTTGGGGATAGGTGTGAATTCTCAACCACTGAGTTTTTATCATATGCCTAATAGTGAATCTGGACTGTGAGGCATACTGAGATAGGAAATCTATTTCTTGCCTTTACAGATCTTACTACCCTGCAATAGAGGCAAGCATGCAAGAAATGTTTTAAAAATAATTTAGCGAAATTACTATTCTAGTCAAATGTGTATGTTGGGACAGGGGGTGTTGGCCAGGCCCCAGGCTCAGAGTGGAGGAGTCTGGGGTGTCTCCAGTGACACAGGAGAGCAGAGCCAGTGTGGAGGGGTGGTAGGGGAGCCCTCCCCGAGCCAAGGGTGAAACAGAAGTGCACTCACCACGTGGAGGTTGAATGGAGCCGAGGCTGGCTTGTCTGCTGGGCTGGGGCCCCTGGGATTGGGATCCAGAAGAAAGAAAAAGAGAGGCTGGGGGATCTGCAGGGGCAGGGGTTGAGCTGGATCCTGGCGGTTCTATGGGAAGGTGTTGATGTCCTTCTGTATTTCTTTTGTTCAAGAATTGACATTTTGAGGTACATGTTCCTGAGAGCTTTCTCCCACCTGAAGGAACCAACCATACCTTGCTTACCTTACCCTGTGGGCAGCTTTTTGCCCCCAACACCACTAAATCAACCACAGACACAAGTCCCGGGGGTTGACCCTCCCTCTGGTGTGTGTCCGGCTGGACCATAGTGAGACTCACTCCTGCTAATTGCCCCCCACTGAACTCCCGATTACCTTTCTTTTACCACCTTCTTTCCCCAGCTGCTTTTGTTGACATTGGTTCCCTGCAGCAATCAACTTCAGCAGCCCGGCTCTGCCGGCTGTTTCTTTGAGCGCAGCCCTCCACAGGTGGCGTTTTGGCCCCGGGCCATGTGGCTGGCCAGCAGAGCTGTTCCAAAGCTTTGCAAATCAGGAGTGCCTGAAGTGCTTTGTGAGTGTTTTCAAAACGCCTGAGTTACTGCACGTGACAGCAGCTTGTAAACTGTTAAGCACTGTACAAATATAACCATTGTCCTTATACAGCCTCTGCAGGGACACAAGACTGAGTAGGTCCTAAGCAGTACTTGTACTAACCCACATTCAGCCCTCAGTGCCTGATACCATTTTTCTTATGATCTAGCTCCTGTTTGGGTCATGCTCCCCCATTCTGAGCTGTGCCCCTTCATGATATCCTTATGCCAAAGGCCTTAACACTCAGCCGTTTCAAGAAGCCACTATAATCTTCCAAAGATATTTTAGGATTTTCTTTTTAGAGTTGCATGATTTTTACGTAAAGGACATCAGTCTGTATAAATGTTGTGAGATGAGAGCCTCAGAGGAGCCCAGGAGAAACATCACACCCAAGATGGTACATTTTTTAAGAAGTACTAGTATTTGGTGCTGATTCACTAAATAACCACTCATTTGTACTTTTCCTGACTAGTGTTTCTTCCGTTTAATACCTTCTGTCCATCAGGTTCATCAGCTTGTGGATTGCCAAATTCCTTTCCTTCTATGTGTGAGTCCAACCCATGGATTCTGTTGATTATAACTCGCCCTACCCAAGTGGACTCTTGGCCCATGGGATAATGTTCTTTTTACTTACAGATTCATTTTTAGCTATTTTAATTGTGAGAATCATCTGCATAGCAGAGAAAATGCTCGAACATTAGGTGCAGTGCTGTCTGTCCCAGGATGTCAATTGCCACATGGGTTTAAGTTTGTCTGATGTATAACTTTACCTCAGTTTTCAAGCATGAGTTCTGTCAGGTTTTTGGACACTATCCTGAATCACCACCTGCAACAGCCTTGGCCGTTTGCTGTATTTCTGTAATGCATCCTTCGTCTGTCCTTCATTCCTGCGTATGTCTCTGGTTAAATCAACTTTGCGTCTTGGTCCCTGGATTGCAGAGCCGACAATGTCCTTGTGTCTCTGTGATGGCTTTATTTTGATCCTTTTTGTTATCACTGATGTAGCAGGTCTGATTGCTTTGTGGTGTGGCTGTGCAACTCCCTCTGCCGCCTGTTTCTGTGGCTGACCTGGTAGGTAGGTGATAGCACTGTCCTTTCCCTGCCATCTGCAGAGAAATCTGAGTCAGGCCACCCAGGAGCAGAGGCAGTTGTCTGAGAAGCTAAAAGACGAGACCAAGCAGAAGGAGCAGTTAAGGAGACTGAAGGGTGAAATGGAGAACGAGCGATGGCACCTTGACAAGACCATCGAGAAACTGCAGAAGGAGGTGAGGGGTAGGAAGAGGGGAGGGAGAGGAGGAGGGAGAGGGCGTGTGACCCAGCCCCCCCGTAAGGGCCTGACAGAGCTGAGGAGACCTGCAGTGTGTCTCAGCACACATGTGTCAGGGATTTGCAGCTCCCGGGAAGCAGCTCTTCGGACTTGTTGATAATCCCAGTCACAGGGGAACTGGTTTAGAAAATGCCCTCTGGGTCCTGGGCCCAGCTCCTCTCAACAGCTGCCCGAAGAAGCCTGGCACGTCACTGCAGACTTCACAGATGTAACCTGAATCAGAACCTCTGTCTTTGTGCGTCATCTGTGTACTTGCACCTCTCTTTCTTGTGCAGGAGTATGAAAGGCAGTTTTGAAGCCCAGTAGTTGCTGCTCCTCTGCCCTAAAACACCCAGAAGGGAAAAGGCACAGAGCTGATGGAGCCACCCTGAGTAGCTGCCATTTTTTTGACACCTACTGTGTGCCAGTCATTTACCAGCTATTTTTCTTTTTTCTTTTTTTACATTTTATTGGAGTATAATTGCTTTACAGTGGTGTGTTAGTTTCTGCTTTATAACAAAGTGAATCAGTTATACATATACATATGTTCCCATATCTCTTCCCTCTTGCGTCTCCCTCACTCCCACCCTCCCTATCCCACCCCTCCAGGTGGTCACAAAGCACTGAGCTGATCTCCCTGTGCTATGCGGCTGCTTGCCACTAGCTATCTACCTTACGTTTGGTAGTGTATATATGTCCATGCCTCTCTCTCGCTTTGTCACAGCTTACCCTTCCCCCTCCCCATATCCTCAAGTCCATTCTCTAGTAGGTCTGCGTCTTTATTCCTGTCTTACCCCTAGGTTCTTCATGACATTTTTTTCCTTAAATTCCATATATATGCGTTAGCATACGGTATTTGTCTTTCTCTTTCCGACTTACTTCACTCTGTATGACAGACTCTAGGTCCATCCGCCTCACTACAAATAACTCAATTTCGTTTCTTTTTATGGCTGAGTAATATTCCATTGTATATATGTGCCACATCTTCTTTATCCATTCATCTGTTGATGGACACTTAGGTTGCTTCCATCTGCTGGCTATTGTAAATAGAGCTGCAATGAACATTTTGGTACATGACTCTTTTTGAATTATGGTTTTCTCAGGGTATATGCCCAGCAGTGGGATTGCTACCAGCTATTTTGTATCTAACTAGAATTCCGTTTCTATGTATTGTTTTAATCTTGACAACAGCCCTGCAAGGTAAAGATTATGGTTTCAGTATTTTTAACGAGTACACTGCAGAGGCCCAGAGAGAGTAGGTAATGCCCCAGCCATGTAGCTGGTAAGTGGCAGAGCGAGGATGTGACCCAGGACCATGGATCTAGCTCCAGAGGATGTGCTTGTTCACACCTCCATGCTACTTCCAAGTTAGAGGAGACTAATCCTGGGCAGATCACGACCAGGTACTTTGCAGTCTTTGGGGTGGGGTGCTACAGAAGAAAGCAGAGGAGACGTGTTGAGCTGGGATGCAAACCTAGCTCCCTGGCCCCAGATGGAGCATTACAGGGTGGGCTCTCACCCATGTCACTTCTTGCAGATGGCTGACATTGTTGAGGTGTCCCGCACATCAACGCTGGAGCTCCAGAACCAGCTGGATGAATACAAGGAGAAAAATCGCAGGGAACTTGCAGAAATGCAAAGGCAGTTGAAGGAGAAAACTCTAGAGGCAGAGAAGTCCCGTCTGACTGCCATGAAAATGCAGGATGAGGTAATGCCTGGCCAGAGCAGTTCCTGGTTTACCCGTGTTCAGAATATCCTTCAAGACTGCTTTGAAACTCTTCTAGGAGAAGCTTGGGGTAGATCCTTAAGACAGCGTTTGTGCTTGATTCTTGGGATGGTTACTTTGGGGCAGATGGCATTCTAAGACACAGAGGACCCAGGGCCTCTGAGGTTAAGTGGACACAGCTTTAGTTTGACCATTTTTGTGATTAATCCAAGATCTGCCTAAAAAGCTTAGCTGCCATTGGTGGAGCACCAGTAGTGTGCCCAGCTGTGTCTGAATGATTTATATGTATCATTGTTTTAATTTAATCTTAGAACAGGGATTATAATAACTAATTTTTCTTTTTTTGCCATTCGTTTAAAATTATATATATATAGACTTTCATTGCCGTGGGAGTGGTGGGTAAGAGTTTCAGAACAACAGAAAAACAGAAATCTTCAGGAATTTATGAATACTGAAATTATTAAAACATATTCTTGGTTTTATATGTAAGAATAATAGGGCGAAGCAACCCAAATGTTAGCTTCCTTCAGTCTGGACTTCTGAAGAACTGTGTGTAATAAAGGGAATGTTTTTGATTATTTTAATGGAAAGCTGAAGGCTCTAAAATGCAAGTACAGTGTAAGCTGATTTCTGCTCTGTCTCTTGCCAGCTGCATGACATTGAGCAAGTTACCCCAATTTTCTGAGCATCTGTTTCTCCCTCTTTAAAAGTATACAAAGTAATAATGACTTAGTAATTAAATGAGGTAACATGTGAGACTATATGGCAGAGGGTCTATATATCCTGGACACTGATATTAGTTTTTTGTTTTTTAATTCTAGAGCTTGCTTTTTTTTTTCATAAGCAGTGCCAAGAGCACTAAGATTCCACAGGAAAACAAATTTTTCTTCAAAAAACAAACTTTTATTATCTTTGATGATCAAAGGAAGGCCGCCCATGAGTCAGCGCTGAAACTGTGTGAAAGAACAATGGATATTTATTACAGGCTTCTAGAATACTTCTGAAAGGACCCTGGTAACAGATCCCCTCTGGTTTAGGGTCTTAGGATACAGGACTCCTAGTAAGAACTGAAATTAGCATATCGACAGCACAGTTCTCTGGCCCTGAAGAAGAATCATTTCTACAGCAATTGGGTGGGAGGATTCTGATACTTGCCGGAATGCAAACACCTGGTGTCCTGTTTTGATTTCAGAAAATCAGTGTCACGGTGACCCCTGTAAAGTGCTTTCCCTTGGTTTTTGTGTAATTATTACTCTGCTAGAATCTTCGGGTAGGAGGGAACCTTAGAGACCCTCTAGTTAGATAAGGAAACTGAGATCCAGAGAGATTAGTTAAGGCCAGATAGAGACCAGTGTTGTTTGTAAAAGGGCAGTAACTCCAAAAAGGATTCCTTATGATGAAAACAGAGCCGGCACTTCCTAGATTTTCTCAGCGGTCTAGCCCTGTGAGGCACTATTTCCATTTGCATGGCAGAAACAGACACCTCATTAGTCAAGAAGGAAACTGCGGTCAGACACCACCCTAAGTCAGGATGGTGAAGTCATGGAGTCGTTTAAAACAAAAATGAATTAATAAGCCAAGGTCACTTGGGATCCTTGAGAAACTCAAGCTCAACTCTGTTCACCACCCTCCACCACATTTTGGTTGAGCTGAGTTAAAGCTCTCAGTAAATAAAAAAGCTGCAAGGGTCCATCCACGCTAAGCGCTGTAGTACTGCCTCCTTTGCTTTGAGAGAAATAGGCATTTTACCCGTTCTGCCTTTGGCATAGGGCTAGAAAAGTTCTGATGAAGGTCATGGTTAGAGAATTAAGACTTAGAGTTCACTGTTCAGTTTATTTTCTAAATCCCACTTAGCAAAGAGCAGCTTCAACTACTTAAAGGTAGCACTAGTAGGTTCAGAAGCTATTTACTTACTCATGATTCCAGACACTGTACTGTTCTCTTGTACATATCCTTATTGAATACTCTTGGTATGATGGAGCCCTTGCTAGATGTTAGGAGGGATCTGCTGGGCGTCGGAAGGTAGGAATGCGCTGGGCATTGGGGAAGGAAGGGTGAGCTGTACCATTACCTGTCAGTCTTTCTGACCCATGTTCTTTTGGGGGTATTATCTCATTTGAGTCTCACGACAGCTTTGTAAGGTAGGTTTTATATTTATCCCAATATTACAAGTCAGGAAACTGAAGCACAGAGAATTTTTTTAAAGACTTTTCTTTTTGGAGAGATTTTTTTTCATGCTCTGGAGTACCTCTGTATCCAAAGAATGTCTCGTCATCCTTTTTCCATGGGATGATTTTCACTTCGTGCTTTCACTCAGTCACCACCAAAACCAGACTAGGGCCTTTATCTGGAGATGTCTTCTTTAAGACTGCTGTTTTCATAGAAATTTCAGGTGTTCCTATCAGCCTCCAGGAGAGGAACACAGTTCCTAGTCTTCCTTCTGGGCTTCCTAAAGTAGCCTAACCTATTGGGTCCCCAAAAAGAGTATCTTTGAGACTTTCCCAACTTTTCCGTGAAGATCACCCCCAAAGGCTGGTACTCTTTCATGAAGTTTGCCACTTGCTATCGTATACTCCCTGAAGGAAATTAACCCTTGGTGTATTCAATTCCTATGACTGGGCTTTCGCCTGCTACCCTATACCACCTCCAGGAGGGAAGGAAGTTGAGAACCAAACAGCCTCAGGCTTCACCGAATCAGTCCACAGAGATGTTTAAGGAGTACCTTCTGTGTGCTGAGTTGCCTAGTTCCCTTGGGGAGATTGCAGAGGAGTGGAAAACACAGACAACCCCTTGCGAATCAAAGCTGTCGGTTGCACTTTCTTCAAAGCTATTAGTTCAGTGCCACCTTGTGGAGGAACAAAACACTGTAAATTATGACAACTGATAACATTCTGCTAGAGAGTAGTGGTTTTCACTTAATTTACATGTTTATATTAATAGATTTTGTGCCTGCAGGTTGCTGTGGGGTCATGATTTTAGCTTTTATCTTCACCCAGCTTTAAACATCTGTTGAGAGGAGCCTGATACGGGTGGGTGATAGATTACACTCTGGGAGGCTCTTACTTAGTTCAAGGGCTTTCGGGTATCTTCAGCCATGACCTACAACAATATTTGCTTGTACTACTCTGATACTTTTTTCTGTTATATTTAACGCTGGCCAATATCTACTGAATTGAATTTATAACCCAATGGGTTGCTCTCTGTAGCTGGAAAAGCGGCTTCTTTTTACAGAAGAGGAAACTGAGGCCCAGAAGAAGGTGGCACTTGCTCACGGGCTTCTGAACCCCAGTGGAGTGTGGGGGCCGCCCAATTCTCTTCGGGGTCAGCCTGCACATTGACGAGATCTCTGTGCTCCTGACTTGCCGGGATAAGCACCCTAGCCCCTCTTCATTCCAGACGCGTCTGTTGGAGGAAGAGTTACGGGACTACCAGAGAGCTCAGGAGGAAGCGCTCACGAAAAGGCAGCTTCTGGAGCAGACGCTTAAGGACCTGGAGTATCAGCTGGAAGCCAAGAGTCACCTCAAGGATGACCGAAGCCGACTCATCAAGCAGTTGGAGGTTTGTGGGCGGCGCGGGTGTGGGACTCGAGGGAAGCAGACTTTCCGCTCACGCCTCAGCCTTTGGGCAGTCTTTGGCTTTTTTTCTCTTGAACAGCAAGACCGTAAAAGTCATTTCTTGATTTGAGGAAGAAGCTAGTAGTTTGTAGACTCATAAGACATCAGAGCTGGAAGGAATGATGGAAATAATCAGACAGTGCTCAAGGCCAGGGAGAGAGAGCTGGAATTTAAAATCAGTGGAATTCCTGATTCAACTTCGCAAATCAATAGAAATAACTTTTAAAACCTCCAGGGGACTTAGTAGCAGTTTATATCCAGGGAGTGATGTTTCAACCATTAAAGATTTTATTAGATGGGCCCTTTTAGAGGCTTAGAATTACCTGGTTAGGGTGTCATGCCCCCCCCACCCCGCTAGATTGCCTTGTGTTTTGCTGATGTCCTGGTTCTAATCTCATTAGGGGAGGTCATTTTAAGTCAAGCTAAGGTCAACCCAGGTAACTAGGAAGTGATTATTCTAGGACCCAAACAATCTGGTTAAACACAAGCTAAAGCCTCGTCAGGCAGTGACGTGAGAACCTTTGGCGTAATGACCCTTGGCCTGACCCCCTGAAGTCTCCTGCTGGGTTCTGTACAGTACAGATTATAGGCAAGAAGAGAGCCCTGCGAAGAGGTGCTTTTAGGCAAACGTTAGGTTGCCAGATCATCTCCTTCTAGAGTATTCTGACTAAAAAGAACATTTCCTTTTACTAACTCAAGGTGTAGAAGCCATGATATAGCTAAGCTTCATTTGCCCCTCTGCAGTATTTGAGCTATTTCTCCATTAATTATAAAATGAACAGCTCTCAAGACCCCACCCCTGTGCGGCACACCCGAGGGTGCTTCCTCCCTAAGAGGCGGCTGGCAGGACTGTCTTGTTGGGACTAATATCTTGCTTGTTCCTTTACTAACACTTAACAGATGAATTCTCAGACTCAGGAGCTCTCTCAATAAAGGCGATTGTCTGTAAACTCAGAAACTCAGGTGACTGTCGTATGTAAATGCGGTACTTGTGGATCTTTGGTGATTCTGAGTGACACTGGCCTTGGAGGGGTCAGGAACCACTGAACAAACAAGGAGGTTTGGTGCAGGACCCAGCTGTTCTGAGTTGGTTTTTGGGACTTTGGACTCCTGGGAGAGAGCTTTCTGGGTTCTCTGTAGATTTTGCTCACAACAGGGAAAGCATTCACAGACATTTAGTCATTCACGAGTTCTGTTTTATTTTTGGTGCATACGGAGGCTTGTCAGCCAACTTTGACAATCGCAGAGACAATATTTATGTACAGATGCTGCAGGCTCACATAGAAACTCGTAATGCTGATTGCTTTTAGTGTGCCTGGCTCATGGCTCTGACTTAATCCAGACATATGACACGTTGGCTGGTGGCAGGAGAAACACATGTACAGGCCCCCAGTTCGAGGTGGGGTGGTTTGTGTTCGAAGCCTCTTTTTTTTTTTTTTTTTTTTGGTACACAAAGCTACTTTGAAGTACTTTTAATACTCAGTGATGTTAAATTAGGAAGGCTGAGGAAGATAGAAATTACTCTTCTTCTGTGAATATTCGGTTTAGCAGAATGGGCTGGCACTGTCTTTATGTTACTCTGATGGGGATTTGGGAGTGCATGGTGCTAAGTATATGAGGTTCCCTAGCAGAAAAAGGCAGATGCAAAAGGCTGTTCCAGACTCTATTCCTGGGAGGGTCTGGGGAACCCTGAGCAGGAGAGAGGAAGAACATTGTCCTGAGTTGAGAATATTTAGAGGAGTGTGCCTTGGACGATATCTTGGTTTCCACATTGTTTTTTAACAGATACCTGTTAAGCTTAGGTAGATATTTGTAAAATTACTGATTCATAAGGAAAAAAAAAGGCTTGAAGGAAACATGCTAAAATACCCTCAGTGCTTGTTAGGGTTTGGGGTAATATTGTTTTCTCCTTTTATGTACTTTCTAGATGCACAATTATATCTTACATTATAAAAGCAATAAAACCCAGTTTTAAAAAGATGTACTTTGCACAGTATGAGAAAAAGACATCTTTCCTCCAAACTCTAATGCATGGTGTTCAGCTCTGGTTTGCCCTTGGGGTTGTCCTTCCACAGGGCAGTCCTTGCTCCTAAAAACTTGGTCAGTGCAAGTTAAATAGGCTGTGTTTGTGACTTCTTTCTTAGGACAAGGTGTCTCAACTGGAGATGGAGCTGGAAGAAGAAAGAAACAACTCGGATACGCTGTCTGAGAGGATCACTCGGGGCAGGGAACAGGTACTGTTCTGTAGTTGAGTGGTGAGTGGATCACCCTGCATGAAAAAGGAAATGGGAGAGGTTAAACCTGAGGATTCAGCTGGAGGAGGGAGAGAAAGTCCCTGGCTGATGGAAAGGATGGAAGGGAAGGTGGGGTCAGTCACTAAGAGGGAGGTGTAATATATAACATGGAGCATATAGAGTGGAAGTTTCCAGAGTGGTTATGTATAACAATGTATTAGTCACAATAGGCAAAGTGCTTTTAGAGCTGAGGCTCTAAGAATCATTAGTTTAACAAGCAATCATGAAATTTGGTAGCTACCACTGTATTAGTGCCATGGGAAGTAAATGATATGTCCCCGTGCCGATGCAGGGGACATGGGTTCGTGCCCCGGTCCGGGAAGATCCCACATGCCGTGGAGCGGCTGGGCCCGTGAGCCATGGCCGCTGAGCCTGGCGTGTCCGGAGCCTGTGCTCCGCAACGGGAGAGGCCACAACAGTGAGAGGCCCGCGGACCGCAAAAAAAAAAAAAAAAAAAAAAAAAGAACTTTGCCAGCAAATTAGCAATACATACACCTGTGAGGCATCCACAGTACAGTAACAGTACCTTGCAAGTGAGTGCTTTTTGCAGTTTTCAAATGACAGGAGTTTCACTTATATTTGATCCTTATAGGAACACTGGGAGGCAGCCAGGGATCGTTCACACTGTCCTCACATTGTACATAATGGAACTAATTTCCCAAACTACACTTGGGATAATCCCAGGGTTTTGAGGGTTTGTTTCCATTTTTTAATTAAAAAAAAAAAAAGTTCAGAGTGCCCGAGTCATATCCTGGAGATGGGGTGTCACATCACTAGAAAGTGGTAGCACCATTAGCTGGTTACCATGTCCCCACTGCATGCCCAAACCATTTGACAGATAAAAATGTGGAAATATTATGGGACAAGGATTCAGAACATTCAGTGGTGGTTTTACAGAGAGTTTGTATTCACTAATCTCAGCCTTTTATTTACATGATACCTTTGGATACCTGTAGAAACCTCTGATGGGATGTCCTTTCAATGACAACTTATTTTTACGCCCAGCTCCTGAAAATGGTGCCAGTAAAACTGTACATTTAATAGACATTTAGAAAGCTCTTCACCTTTTGATTTGCTTTGGGCACTTTCTTAATTAGACAATGCAAACAAAACCTAAGAGCCTTGGATGGTACTGAGTATAATTTAGGAAATTATCTGTGTGAAGGATTTAAATAAAAAGTCTGAAGTACAAATTAATACAAAATTAATATGGAATCTTCCCACTTTCCTCTGCTCACCCTTCTCCTTATTCATATGTACCACCTTTCGCACACTTTGGGATGACCAAGAACTGGAGCTTCCAGCACTTAGGGACAATGCTGTTCTAGGCTGGTAGCCCCTGTTCAAAGTTGAAGGTGAATCACTGGCTTCGTTTCCATCTGCCTTTGCTTCCCTATTGACAGCTTCTTTGCAAACAGGTCAGATTCTGGTGCTCCTTTGCTCCTGAGAGTGAAGGAAATTCCAAGCAGAGGCTCCATCCACCCTCCCAATGCACTTGGGTTCTGCCTACATATTTCAGTCCTGTTTACGGTGCTAGTATCATTCCTCTGGAGGGGTGGCAGCCCACCTGACCTGAGCTGCAAAAGTTTAGAGAAAGACCTTCATGGAAACCTGAAGTTCGGGTGGAGAGCCCAACCTTGACATTTGAGACCTAATAGTTCTTAGTAAAGTCTGCATTTTCTCAGTTCTCCTGCTGGTATAGAAGCTGCTTTGTTAGGAATTCCTGCCGGCCTGGCTAAGGCGCCCCCTTACCACAGGGCTTTTCAGGATCTGCTAAGCGTTGGTGATGATGCGAGAAGTGGCCCTGAATTTGTTTTGCTAATGCTTCTTGCAATTTAGGCAAGGAGGAGTGGTGGGGAAGTATGTCATCCTATCAATAACCAGGCAGTTAAAACAGCCTTCCAGACCTGAAGCAAAACACAGACAAACTGAACCAGAGATAGTTGCCTCCCTTGAGTCTGCTGATGGCCCAACACTAAGGAGGCCCATCACTTAGGTCTGTTTGCTTTGGGCCTCTTCTCTCTTCTTTCAACAGGATTTGTGGGTAATAGAACTGCTCTCTGTGATCTGCTCAAGGTTGAAAATATTTCGACTGAGCTGAGAACCTAAAGTAAGCCCGGGGAGGAAGTAGTAGAGGGGACGTACTTGTACTCTGGGAAAGAATCCCTTGTCCAGCCTCCTGCACCAACCCCACGTAGCTCCAGGAAAGTCTCCGCCCCTCTGAGCGCAGCCTCTAAGATCTATGCAAAGGAGGCTGTTTGTCCAGGAGATTTCTGAAGTCTTTTCTGAATTCTCACACTGAAATGCTGTGAGAAGGTTTTATAAAATTAAGTGTCTGAGTCGGCCTTTAACTCTGTCATTCCCTCCCTGTGTCTGAGTTTATGTGCCTGAAAAGATGGGTTTCACAAATGTCTCTAGCCTTTTTGCTATATTTGTTCTATTTTCCTCGTCAGTTTTCTTTGTTCTCACTGCACTCTCTGGGGTAGGGAGGGTAAAGCCTGGTGTCTGTTAAAAGCGGAGAAATTGAGCATCGTGTTCAAACTGAGGTAGGAATTACGAAAACAATAAAACAAAACAAACCGCTGAGATGAAGTGGGGTCTCCTGATGGAGTGCTCTCTTCTGGCATGAGCTGCCTTTGGATTTCTGAGCAAGGGTAGAGAAAAGGGCTTGTCAAATATACCCGCCTTACAGGAAAGCATTTACTTCTCACTCAAAGTCAAGGTCAATCTGAGACTCGCTTCTTGCCTCTTAAAGTAAAGGTTCAAGAAAGGGCTCTGAGTGTAGACAGGTGGGCCTTGATTCTGAAGTTGTTTCAGTTCATTTAGGTTAACTTCTAGGGATGTACCGGCTGCCTTCCTGCCAGAATCAGAGAAATGGGAAGCTTCTAAACCTAAGACCCCTTCTCCGCCCCCTCACATGCTGCCCTGTGACACCTCGTCACGGGAGATGTCTCTTAAGGAGCAGGAAATGGTGCCTGTCTGTCCTCTCCAACCTGATTTGTAGCATCCGGTCTGGATGTGCTGCAAACTGCCGTGAAAAGGGAAGGCGTGGGGAACTTTATGTTTTGGATCTTGGTCTCTTTAAATTAAAAAGTCAAAGATTGCAGCTGTTGTCTCTACTTAATCTCTGCATGCTCACAAGCTCCCTGTCTAAATCTTTTTTTTTTTTTGCACCCTCTGAACATCTCCCATTCATTCTCCTAGTCTGAGTGACAGGGCTTAGGTGGGAAAACAGAAAAAGAGGTTTTCCGGTAATTTTAGTGAATGGCCTACCCCATTTACAGAATCTTAGATCTGGCGAGGACCTCCAGGTTCATTTCCCCAGACTTTCTGTGCAGTGGATGAGAGAGCCGAGGCCCAGAATCACCTGTGATCCAGCCAGGGTGCACGGCTGACCAAGGCAGGCACTGTGGTTGGCTTGAGGAGCAGGGGCTTGCCTAAACAATGGATAACTATCAAGAAAAAGCAGTGGGTACTAAATGCCAAGTGAAAGAGTCAGGCAGCTAAGCAGGGAAAGACCATGATAGCGAGGGTGACAGTGGGAGTTCTTAGGGGAAGGCTGGCCCGGAGCTGGCTTTGCGGAAAGGGTAAGATTTAGACAAAGTAAGGAATGGGAAGGGAATCCTAGATATGGTGGAGGGTGTGAGCAAGGATTGGGAGGTAGGGTCTATTTAGCATTTTCTGGAGCAACGAATGGACTGCTGTGCTTGGTTAGGTTTCTGGTGTCCATGAGGGAATCACGGGAGAGGCAGGTTGAGGGATTTTGAAAGGACTATACCCTGAAGGCAATGGGGAGCCTGGGAAGGTCGTTGAGCAGAACAGTGAAGCATACACAGTGTTCTCGAAGGGGATGGGAGTAAGGGCAGGAGAAAGGGGGCCTGAGTGAAGCCTCAGGTGGGCTGTTTCCACGGACAGAGGACAGGAGAGGCGGTTGTGAGATCAAACATTCTGTCCTTTTCATGTGTTTGTTTCCACTTTCTCGTGCTTAACATCTGATGCTCAGTAAATGCTGGCAACGTTCTTTGTAAGTTCCCAGCCCTTCTAAGGCCTTCCTTTTAGATACACGCTCAGGATATTCTTTTTTTTTTTTTAATTAATTTTTATTGGAGAAGAGTTGCTTTACAGTGTTGTGTTAGTTTCTGCTGTACAGCAAAGTGAACCAGCTCTATGTATACATATATCCCCTCTTTCTTGGATTTCCTTCCCATTTAGGTCACCACAGAGCCCTGAGTAGAGTTCCCTGTGCTGTACAGTAGGTTCTCATTAGTTATCTGTTTTGTACATAGTAGTGTATATATGTCAATCCCAGTCTCCCAATTCATCCCACCCCCCAGGATATTTTAAAGTTGAAGGAAATTTGAATGAAATAGTGGGTGCTATACTGGCTTTTGGTCTGTTTAAATCCGGAGAAATCCTTTTTCCTCTCCTTCCTCTAAAGCCATGTTTCCTTTTACGATATTTGCCGTCCTTACTGAGGGTTCTCCAGGTGCTGGGCGCTGTGCCCGTGCCTTGCATGCTTGCTCTTGTTGTTTTCAGGGCTCACGAGGCTAAGTGGCTGCTTAGGGTCTCGAGGCTTGTAAGAAGTGTGGAGCCAAAGCTCATCACCTCCCACCTGTTCCTATCATCCCAGCATCGGACAGTGAGGGTGGTAAAAACACCCCAAACGTTTGGGTCTCTGTGCCCAAGTTTAAAAATAATGCCACAGTGTCTCTTAATATGAGTGAGGATTTATTTTCACCTGATCCTCTCCTGACCCTCCTCCTGAGTCCAGGATTCAGATGGCCCAGCTTGGTGTTGCAAATGTGTCCCACAGGCTGATGTTCTAGCTCCTTGGGCACTGCTGTGTGACTGCTGGTGGCTGAGTGCTACAGTTAACAGTAGATCTGGGCCGAGATGGAGAGGTGTTCTCTTGCCCACGGAGGCCAGGATAGCCCAGCCCA